TCATGACAGACACTACAGAAATACACAAGATAATTAGAGATTATTTTGAAAACTTGTACTCCAATAAAATAGAAAATTCCGAAGGCATTGACAAATTTCTAGAGTCACACAATTTGCCCAAACTGAACCTGGATGATATTCACAATTTAAACAGATCAATTTCAAGCAATGAAGTAGAAGACACAATCAGAAACCTACCAACCAAAAAAAAGCCCAGGACAGGATGGATACACAGCTGAGTTCTATAAGAATTTTAAAGAAGAACTAATACCAGTATTCCTCAAATGATTTCATGAAATAGAAAAAAAGGGAACCCTTCCAAACTCATTCTGTGAGGCCAATATCATAGACAGGCAAAGACACATGAAAGAAAGAAAACTTCAGACCAATATCTCTAATAAACATAGATGCAAAAATGCTCAATAAAATTCTGGCAAAGTGAACACAAAAACATATCAAAAAGACAGTGCTCCATAATCAAGTGGGGTTCGTCCCAGGGATGCAAGTTTGTTTCAACATACAGAAATCAATAAATGTAATTTATCACATCAATAGACTTAAATATAAGAATCATATGATCCTCTCAATAGATGCAGAAAAAGAATTTGACAAAATATATCACCCCTTCATGTTCAAAACACTAGAAAAACTAGGGATAACAGGTACTTACCTCAATATTGTAAAAGTTATCTATGCTAAGCGCCAGGCCAACATCATTCTAAATGGAGAAAAATTGAAGGCATTCCCTCTAAAAACTGGAACAAGACAGAGATGCCCTCTTTTACCACTTCTCTTTAAAATAGTTCTTGAAATACTGTTCAGAGCAATTAGACAGACGAAAGAAATTAAAGGGATACAGATAGGAAAAGAAGAACTCAAATTAGCACTATTTGCCAATGATGATTCTATATATAGAAGACCCAAAAAATTCCACCAGAAAACTTCTAGAACTTGTGAATGAATTTGGCAAGGTAGCAGGATATAAAATCAACACCCATAAATAAAATGCATTTCTGTATATCAGTGATAAAACCTCTGAAAGAGAAATGAGGAAAACTATCCAATTTACAATAGCCTCAAAACAAACAAACGCCTGGGAATCAATTTAACCAAAGAAGTGAAAGACCTGTACAGTGAAAACTACAGAACACTAAAGAAAGAAATTAAAGAAGACCTTAGAAGATGGAAAGATCTACCTTGTTCTTGGATAGGCAGAATTAATATTGTCAAAATGACCATATTACCAAAAGCACTATACAGATTTAATGCAATTCCAATCAGTCATAAAAAGCAGTTATGAAATTCATCTGGAAAAATAAGAGAATAGCTAAAGAATAGCTAAAGCAGTCTTTAGCAAGAAGAGTGAAGCAGGTGACATCACTATACCAGACCTTAAACTATACTACAGAGCTATAGTAACAAAAATGGCACGGTATTGGCACCAAAATAGACTTGCAGACCAATGGTACACAATAGAGGACACAGAGATAAACCCACAAAAATACTTATCTCATATAGACAAAGGTGCCAAAAACATATATTGTAGAAAAGATAGCCTCTTCAACAAATGGTCCTGGGAAAACTGGAAATCCATATGCAACAAAATGATATTAAACCCGTATCCCTCCCCATTTACAACTCAACTCAAAGTGGATCAAGCACCTAGGAATTAAACCAGAGACCCTGCACCTAGTAGAATAAAAAGTAGGTCCAAATCTTCATCATGTTGGATTAGGCCCCAAATTCCTTAAAGAGACTCCTAAAGCAAAAGAATTTTAAAATCAAGAATCAATAAATGGGATGGATTCAAACTCAAAAGCTTATTCTCAGCAAAAGAAATAATCAATAAAGTAAATAAAAAGCCTACAGTGAATAGAGAGCAAATTTTTACCACATGTACATCAGATAGAGCACTAATCTCTAGGATATATAAGTCAAAAATCTTAACACCAAAAAAAAATCAAATCACCCAGTCAATAAATGGGCCAAGGAACTGAACAGACACTTCTCAGAAGATGATACACAATCAATCAACAAATATATGAAAAAATGTTTAATATCTCTAGCAATTTGAGAAATGCAAATCAAAACTACTCTAAGATTTCATCTCACTCCAGTCAGAATGGCAGCTATTAAGAAAACAAACAATAATAAGTGTTGGCGAGGATGTGGGGAAAAGGGCACACTCTTACATTGCTGTTGGGAATGCAAATTGGTGCAACCAATCTGGAAAGCAGTATGGAAATTCCTTGGAAAAGTGGGAATGGAACCACCATTTGACCCCGGTGTCCCACTCCTCAGTTTATACCCAAAGGACTTAAAAACAGTATACTATAGTAATGCAGCCATATCAATGTTTATAGCAGCAGAATTCACAATAGCTAAATTGTGGAACCAACCTAGATGCCCTTCAGTAGATGAATGGATAAAGAAAATGTGGTATATATACAGAATGGAACTCAGCAATAAAAGAAAGTAAAAGCATGGCATTTGCAGGTAAATAGATGGAGCTGGAGAATATAATGCTAAGTGAAGTTAGTCAATCCCAAAAAACCAAATGCCAAATGTCTTCTCTGATATAAGGATGCAGATTCATAATGGGGATGGGGGGAGCATGGGTGGAATAGAGAAACTTTGGGTAGGACAAAGAGAGGGAGGGGAAGCAGGGGCGTGGGGGTAGGAAAGAGGGCAGAATGAGACAGTCATCATCATCCTAAGTACATGTATGAAACAGGAATGGTGTGATGCTACTTTGTGTTCAACCAGAGACATGAAAATTTGTGCTCTATTTGTGTAATATGAATTGAATTGCATTCTGCTGTCATATGTAACTAATTAGAATAATTAAAAATTTTTAAATTACAAAAAAAAAAAAAAACTACGGACAAATTGTATAACCAAACACAGGCAGGTTGAGAAGTGACCTCTGGTACAAAGACGAGGGGCTTTGAAGTCAATGCATCTTTAGGGAAAATCTAAACGCTTCTGAAGGCATAATTTTGGCATATCATCACCTCCCTCATAAGACCATTGTATAATAATGTGTTAAAGAGTTTATTATAGCTGGGTACAGTGACCCATGCCTGAGGGTAAGGCAGGAGGATCACAAGTTCAAGGCCAACCTCAGCAACTTATAAAGGCCCTAAGCAACTTATTGAAACCCTGTCTCAAAATAAAAAATAAAAATGGGAATGTGGCCCAGTGGTTAAGTACCCCTGGGTTCAATTCCCAGTACCAAAATAATAATAGTAATTAAATTAAAAAAGAGTTTAGCACAGTGAGTGATCCAAAAATCATAAGTGTTTAACATTTTTTAATGCCTCTCATACGTGACACATATTGGGAAGTATTAAAGAAGATCTGTGCAGTCTTCCTCAAAGCATATAACTAACATAGCAAATAAAGGAACTGCAAGCATTTTAGCTATGGTTTGCCCATATCTAGTTAAACTAGAATCTTTTTTTTTTTCCTCCGTCTTTTCTTTTTTGGGGGGAGAGTTATTAATTTTTTTCTCTTTCCACATAAACACACATTATTTTCCTCCAGAATTTCGTCCTTAAAAACGAATAGCTCTCCAATGTGTTTGAATATTTATTTTCCTTCCTTTCCCAAAGGGAAGAGCAGGAAGTGAGAGTCACTGAACCAAAGTGAGAGAAATCTGACAGCCGATTAATTTCTGCAGCACTAGTACAGAACACAGGACTGGCTTTGAGGTCATAGAAATGACCTTCGTGAGCTTCTGTGACCACACCTATCTTAGGTGCAAAGTTGCATTCACACTCAGCTGCATCCCGTCGTACACTATATTGGCTTGACAGGGTTGAATGAAACCCTGCCTGATAGTTTTGCAAAAACCTGACCCCATGTAGATTTTTTAAAGGAATTCCCCTCCCCATTAAAATATTGTTTTCACTTGTGTTGAATCCATATGGCCATTTCCAAGATCCTTTTGAAGTACATCTGAAAAACGAGCATTCTCTAAAACCAATTCATAGCCATTCCTCTTGGCTGCTAAAGTGGTGTTCCCAAGCCAAAGTAGCAGTGACGTTGAGTACAATTTTTACTCCACTGCTCCTTTTCCTGTTTTCACAGTAATAGGAGCTATAGTCTGGAAGAAATAAGGGCCTTTGGCTGTACATAGCGTACCACCTGTGAGCATGGGGCAGAAAAGGCAGGAACCCCACTGTGCAGGGCCTGTAACATCAAGTCATTTACCAAGTACAAAAGCCAGCAGAAAAATATTCCATGTAGTATATTACAGAACTCTTTTATCCATTCTATTTTACTGGGCATGAATTGCACTTATTAATTAAGGCACATATACCTTGAAAGTGAATGAATGGAACAACACTCAGAGGAAGGATTAGTATGTTGCTGAGGGGAATAATGTGTCCTACATTTTTCAGAGGAAGTAGTAATATTAGGTCAGCATCTTAAAGTCTCAATTCATTCAATCTTTCAAAATTGCAAATTAATTCTTATTTTGCTTGGTTGTTTGCCATTGAAATTTAACTCCTTATTTGGTTCTTACGAATTAAAAAATAGAGCCAGGCGCAGTGGCGCTCGCCTGTAATCCCAGCAGTTTGGGAGGCTGAGACAGGAGAATCGCAAGTTCAAAGCCAGCTTCAGCAACTGTGAGGCACTAAGCAAACTCAGTGAGACCCTGTCTCTAAATAAAATACAAAATAGGGCTGGGGATGTGGCTCAGTGGTGGAGTACTCTGAGTTTAATCCCTGGTCACAAAAAAAAAAAAAAATAGATGATGGGGCAGAGGGAGAGATAGATATCAGGAATTTGGTAGAAACCTTGTTGTTTAAAAACTATTTAAAAGAAGAAGAAAATGTAGAATGACCAAATAAAATGCTTCTAGTGCAATTTTTCTTCTCTCTCTCATCATGTCAATTGATAATGTGCTGATGCCATTACAAGATTTGAGGAAGGCACATCTCACACAATGGCATAAAAACCCAATTCACACTTAGGAACCGTTCACAAGAGGATCTTATGATGAAATATTTTATTCAAGGATATATAGTAATAGTAGAAATAAATGGATACATTTAACTATCTTCATTACAACATGAAATGAAATTTCATAAGATTATGAAAGTGATTTTTATTATTTTGGTAATACTGTCCCATTATAGATAATCCCAGATACAGTTTTTTTTTTTAATTTGGTATATCAAACTGTAAAAGCTATACATTAATGTTGTGCCTCCAGAATCTATTTTGGTTACACCTAGGTTCCATAGCTGCTATATGTATACACTAAAAGCATACATGAAAAAGTATAAAAATATGAAAAGGTTAAATAAGGAGTTATTCTTGAGTTATAATCACATCTACTAAAGTATACTTTTCTATCACACAGTTGTGTCACAGCTAAAAACATACAAATTGATATATATTGCTATGCAACTATTTGATCTAACATAGATCTACTATGAAAATATTAAGGGTGTGGTAACATTTCACAGGTAAAGGCTAAGTTCTGGGACATGAAAGCTTTTAGATAATACACAAAACAAACCTGAGACATCTTTTTATTTTGGAAAAAAACATTTCTTACACAGTCAAAGCTTTAACATATAAGTGAGGCATTTAATAAACAATATACTTTAACTACTATGATAACCTGAAGTAGATGTTCTGACCTTAATGGTGATCAGCAAATAACTAACTCTGGCAGAAATAAAATGAGGTTTTCTGATTAAGCCAGTAATCTGATTACCATAGTCACCAAATTTGGTTATTTTTATTCATTTTTGGTTTTATTTTCCTTCCTTTAACTAGGTTATAAGCATACTAAATAAGACAGGTAACCTCCAAGAACCTAGGTTTTCTCATACAAGCCCAGCTTTCCCTTTGCCTCAAGCATCCAGGGACAACTGAGCTCAACATAAAAAAAAAAAAAAAAAAAAAAAAAAAAAAAAAAACCAGGTGATCACACTCTGGACCTGGTTGGTAATGAGGCATCCAGATCAGTGCCTTAATATTTTTGCTATTACACATCTCTCGGAATAAATTGGCTACAGGAGGCCAGAGTTATTGTCTGCTGGGGCATAACTTTTTGAAATAGTGCCTAAAAACTGAAGTGTATTGGGTAAGCCTAATTTGTTTAATTGGCTTTAATGCCTTTAAAAATACTGGCACAACTTTTCATCTTCAAAAGATATGATTATGAAATTTTAAAATAAAAAATTGTATTAATATGATATTCCAAACTACAAAATAGATCTGCTATGTTATAGATTTAAAAAAAAAATCTAGAGATTTAATGCTGGCACACCAAGCATCTTTTTTTCCTAAATGTTCATGCTTCAAATTTTGTGCTTCAGTTAAATTAATCTGGAATGGTGGGAAGATGCTTAGCCATCTTTCTGTTTCTCTTCCCACCACCCACATATTAAACCATTGTACACTCCTTCCTTTGAATTTTGATTTTAAAATTAAAAAAAAAAAGCTTAATAAAAGAGAGCAAACAGTAAGCTCTCAGGATTCTGTAGAATTTGTTTTGGAAGTTCCATTGCAATGAAAATAAAAACGTGAAGCCTCCTTTGTATACTTTTGTATTCTTTCCATCTCTTTTTAAAAAATGTTTTCAGGTTATTTCATAATCCGTACATCTTGTTCAAGTTTCATTTTTTTTTCAGCTCCCAAAGCAATTTATCCCAAATAACACAACCGATGTGATCAGCTCCTGTGTCTTAGAGTGCCCCTCTCAAAACAGCCTCCAAAGAGGCTGGTCCTGATTCTGACATTTAAAAAAACAAACATCAATGCTAAACTGCTTAATCACTTAAAAGAGAAACTAATCAATTATAATGGGAATTCCCCCCTTGTTACCTATGAAAGAGAACATCCAGATAATTTATGGTATTTTCATTCTCCTCCCAGCAAACGTTAGATTGTCTCGCTTTCCAAACGATCAAGATTCCTAATAGTTTCAACTGGAACTCAGTAATCAGAAAGGACTTTAAATTAACTTAAAATTTAACATGCTAAGAGTTTGAAATTTCAACATATTAACTGCATCAATTTCAAAAGGAGAAACTATATTGTGAATACAATTTTAATAAAACATTATAAAATAAGAATACATCTTACTAACTTAATTTTGGGATCTGTTCATTGTCCAAAACTTGGATGAGAAAAGAAATCTTGCTTTGACTTGGTTTTTCATGTCAAAAAAAAAAATAGGTGGTTGATTTAATCAGGCTTATTTAAGGTACTGGAACCATACCTTGTTGAACTGATTGTACTTTTTGATTTTCAATATAATATGAGACATACTATTCCACCTTTTCATGATCAAAATAATTAATATTAACATACTGTTTATGAACGATTATGTAATGTGTATATATCTGTGCATAGATATGTATATATACATATATGTTAAATACTATTCAGTGACATGGGTGTTTTTTTTTTTAGCTTATAAGACTTGCTGACATCAGTACATTACAATCATATAACTGAAAGTTTAGCTGAAATGGCAAATATATTTTTTTTCTCAAAATTGAAACACTGTACCTTGGCAACCAAGAGAGAGGTACAAGTTCAGCTTGGAATTTTGTAGTTAAATAATTTACACTTTAAATTTCATGATAAATCTCTGAAATGCACTCCAATCATTAATTCAATTATTAATTTCTTTTTAAGCAACTGACTTTATGATTCATCCTGAAGTAGGGAAGCATATCAATAAGCAAAAAGTTAAATCTACCCAGCGGTACTACAGTCTCTCTAAGCCATTTTGCTAAAAAGGTAAGAAGGGAATTTCTGGTCTTTACATTTTCCCTTATCACCCTCAATCACATACCTTACACGGAAATTACTTGCCTTTGCATCTTCAATATATCCCGAAATTTTGCTTAGTACAGTTTTCTAAGAAAATGATTTCTGCACATAGAGGCTCAATCTAAAAAGCCATAACTAACATAGGGCAGGTTAAGCTGCTCACCCATACAGGGCAGGTGGTTCCTCCCCACCACGGGATCCACTAAAAAGGCATAATTACTGAAATACTTCATTAGATAATTGTGTGCATATGTATATGTATCTGTTAACTCCAAAGAATACTCCCTTAAGAAATTATTATTACCATGATCCAATATAAATTCCTTGGGCCCTGTGACTGTGATTCAAAAACTTTTCCCAGAGCTCCTGCACCTCACAAGGAGCTACTCAGTGGGGAACAAGCCTCTCCTACAGGCTTCTTGATTTACATACATCTTAGAGGCTAATTGAGAAGTGGCATCAAAGAGGAATTAGTGGGGGAAAACAAAACAAAACACTAAATTTTCCTCCTCATCCCCCGAGACTTCAATTTCGGCTTGCTTTCTGGCTTCTCATTGGCCAGCTTCCTCAGTTTGCAACTTTTGGACAGCACTATCAAGGAGCTCCATGGACTCTCTGAGAGCGACGTGAATTTTAAAGAACTTGGGTTTAATGGTCAGGCCATAACTGAAGCTCATTTTCGAGGGCTCGTTTTGGTTGGCCTTGAAATTGCACTGGTGAGCCAGGATGGAGATGAAGAGAAACAGCAGCATCTTAGACAGCTCTTCACCGATACACCGCCGCTTGCCCACGGAAAAAATCATGACGCTGCTGGCCAGCTCCTTGTTAATGAAGCCGTCTTTGTCCAGGAATCGGGCTGGATCAAAGTCCTCCGGGTTAGGCCACTTCACCGGGTCATGATTCACAGACCACTGGTTTACAAAAATCACCGTGTCCTTAGGGATGTAGTAACCCAAAACGAAGGTGTTGGCAGTGGTGGCGTGGGGGATGGTGACAGGCATAAAGCTGGAGAATCGCATGGTTTCGTAGAGAAAAGCCATAACATAGGGCAGGTTAGGCTGGTCACCCATACAGGGCAGGCGGTTCCTCCCCACCACCTGATCCAATTCGGCCTGCACACGAGCCTGCACGTCAGGATACCTATTCAGGGTTTTAATGTAAAGGAGGAAAAAAAAATTGAGTAAGCAAAATTAATTCTTCCTTCATTTAGAAGTACATTACAATTTAGTTTAATTCCACTGTCTTTAAACAGGCTTAGTTAATGACTGAATGGATACTTCTGGGGAAAAAAAATCTAAGACTGCTAATTTTTCTCTAAATTACAAGATGGACTTTAACAATTATATTTTCCATAGTAAAACTTACACAACTAAAGCTCTCCCCCATTATAAGTCAAAAAATTCTTAAGTTTCCTTATTTTGAAAATGCACAATAACGGCCAACCTGACTTCTCCATTAAACACTAAAAGCACAGGGCCTAGGGCTCATAATACTTTGGAGGGGCCTAAAAAATGTTTTCCTGTCTTTAAAAATCTTCAAATCTAAAAAAATTAACTTTTAGGTAGGAAAAAAAGTCTTAATATATGATTTTTAATGTGTTCGGTTTTATATATAGTTTTAAAACGTTTTATAGAATAAGGAGTCCACAAAGACAAAAGTTCCCAGGACTCACAAAAGTTATGATGCAGTCCTAAAAGCAGATCCCTTTTCTTGCCCTCATTTCCCTGGATAATTCCTTGTTCTTAATTTATAAAATATTTTTGGTATCCTGGTAGAAAAGTTATGCATTTTCTAAACTTAGAAGAAAATTCCCAATGTTTGTAAAATTGTGGTACAAATAGTAATAATTATGCACTGCTACAAAACAAACTTCACAAGGTAATTCCCCCTCATTTAAAACCCAATAATTTATACCTAATAATGTATTTTCATTAATTAATTTGACAGGTACAATAACATATAATCACAACAATAGCTAAAATTGAAAATTCAATCAAAGTCAGTGACTCATGTTAAAGCTTAAGAAATGTTCATATACACACATATATTATTATGGCAATTTATTATGTAGCTATAAAAATTACTAAAATTAACGTTAAAAGATGTGAAATGCCCAGTAAAATAAGTAGAAGTCAAAAAACATATACTCATTTTGTTGTAATCCTGAAAAAAAAATTAAGCATGTATGGAAGATTTAAAAAAATCTCTTCAACATCTCAATGCAGAGTCTGCCAACTTTTTTCATAAAGGGCCAGATGAAAATGTTTTAGATGTTGTGAACCAAATCTCCCCTGTTGCAACTATTCAGTTTTGCCTGGATACAGCTATTTCAAAAAAGTATACAAAACTTTAGCACTTTGCAAAAGTGACTGCTGAGTTTTATCCTGACTTTTGCTCTCATTCCTAGCGCGGCATTTATGAACCCAGCACAGCCGGTTGGTTTCTGGCCGCCTCTGGAAAGCTTTTTCATGGGTTGGCCCACGCAGGCTGACCTCCACAGTCTTCCTTTGTCTGGGAACAAAGCCCTGACCAGCAGCTCACTTTTAGTGCCAGGACTGGGCAGCCTCTGATCCGTACCGATTATGCTGCCGTGTTTATTTAACTTATTTGCTGCATTTCCCTTTCTTCTGGAGCCGTTCCAATATTGCTTCTATTGCACCAGGAAGAGACCTATCAGGGCTGCTCTGTGGACATTTTAGACATCTCCTGTTTGCGGGATTTAACAAATTTGTCTCCACTCGCAAGCGCGGGAAGGGAGGGAAGAGACAAGATCCGAGATACTGAGAGATCACTGGAGCTCTACGTGGAGTGATCGCGTGCGAATCAAAGCCTACGCTACACATTTCTGGGCGTCGTTTCAGGGAGGCGATCTCGGTTTTGAGGAAAGCAGACCTGGAGCGAAACCTCAAACCCTATGAGATGCTTGTGACCTCAACATATTCTAGCCCACACCGTCTTCAGAGGAGGAAAGAAAAGCCCAACCCAGGCCTCCTGGAGAATTTACCTGGTGAAGAAGATAAGCGGCCACAGTAGCGCAGTGGAGAGGGTGTCCTGGCTCGCTCCAAAGATGTCGGTGACAGTGGCCGGCACGTTCTCCAAGTCCAGCCGCGCGAGCCCGTCTCCCGAGTCCTCAGATACCTTCTTTTCTGCGGAGAGGATGAAGGCATCCATCATGTCGCGGGGGATGGACCCAGGACGAAGACGTTCGCGGTGCCTCCGGAACTTATCCAGGACAAAGTTGCTGAAGTTGCGGTTAAGCTGCTCGAACTCGCGGAAAGTGGTGCGCAGCGGGTTGGGAAAAAGCTGCAGCCAGGGCAGCACGTCCACTAAGCTGCCGGCACCCACTGTGCGCCCGAACTCCTCGTTGTGGCTAAGCAACTCGAGGAATTCGGCGTCGTCGTGATTGTAGCGACAGCCGAAGCACACGGCGCTCATGACATTAGCCACCGCCACGATTATGGGCTGCGTGGGATCGAGGAAGTTGCCTCCAGCGCTGCCGCGCACCAGTAGTGCCACCAACTCGCGCGCCTCCCCCAGCACGTGGCCCTCGAGGATATGTCTGCTGCGCGGCTGGCGCGTGGAAAAGGCGCGCATTATGCTACACGCCGAGCGCCGCTGCGCCTTCCACTGCTCCGTGTAATGGCCGAAAGCCAGGCTGCGGCCGCCCGACACTACGCGGAAGGAGGCAAAGGACGGCCGGTCAGCAAAGGTAGCACCCTGCTGCACCAGGGCCTGGTGGATGGCGCTTTCGCCATTCAGCACCACCACCGGACAGCTGCCCAGGCGGATCTGGAAGACGTCTCCATAGCGCTGCGCCAGACGTGCGAAGGACAGGTGCGACGCCCGGCCCACTGCCGCGGCGTTTCCGATCAGTGGCCATGGGAATGGGCCGGGGGGCGAGGACCAGGGCTGCCGCCGCCGCTGCCTCAAAAGCCACTGACCCACGTGCACCGCGGCCAGCACGGAGAGGAGCAGCAGGAGCGTAGACTGCTGGACAGACAGCGCGCTCAGCTGCCACGGATCATCTGGGCTGAGGCCCGTGGCCATGCTGGGGACAGAAAGGCAAAGGCGTGACACTCAGTGTGAAGAGAAAGGAGAGGGCTCCCCACGCTCCTTTCCCAACTGTCTAGCCTTTGGGTGAAGTGGAGGCCATCCATAGGTTTGGACGGGGCTGGCTCTCTGGAGAAGTGGCGGAAGACACCTCTTCCCACACCTACACCAAGCTCTGGTTGGGAAGGAAAGGGGCGTGTTTCTCTCTCTGGTATCCAGCACTAGCCTCTGCACCCCCAATCACGTAACGGTTCCTATAATTTCGGGACAACACTACAGGCATCTTGGCTATGACTCTTGGTTTCCTTTAAACTGCCCACCACCCCATCCCGGACCTGCAAGAACCCATGTGAGGAGGCCGCTGGGAGGCGGCTCAGCGGACAGACTGACCTGCGGGGAGGTGCGGTTTCCAGCGGCGCGGGACGACCGGCTCCAAAAAGGGGCTGAGGGTAGGACGTCAACCCGAGAGTCGACAGGAACCTGGAAGTCCTTCCTGGACACCTCTTGCCCTCTCTGGGAGCTTTAGCACTCACTTTGGAGTCTCTTGGTGTCCACAGAACCAAGAGCCCTTGGACTGGGATGGGGACGGAAAAAGGTACCTCCTTTGTGGAGCCCTGCTGCACCTGGGGCTCTGCGAAAGTCAGGATTTTCTCAGAGCGTTGGAATGAAGCAGGAGATTGAAGAGTGGAGTCAGTTCCCAGCCCTCATGCCCCCCGGGCGGCTCTCACAGCTGGCGTCGCAGAGGTGTTTGCACACACTCCAAAGACTACACGCGCCATCCGATTCTCCGGGTTTTAAGGGCTGTAGAGCGAGAAGGAAGCGGGACCTGGAGGGGCGGGGCTCGTGGGGGCGGGGCACGCGGCTAGGGTCTTCACTGCTGGACTTGGAATCCCAGTCTGCGCGCCTGGGTGGTCCAGCAAGGCGTCTGAGCGGCGCGCTCCGACCGCGGTGCAGCAGTAGAGTAGCTAGAGGCTTTGGGAGCGACAGTGTGAACTTTTCATTTGTCTGCTAACGGCTCTTCATCACAGTTAACTCCCAATCTAAGCCTCAAGGTTTCCCCCAGACCTGCACTGGGGACAGAATGCTCTTGGCACAAGCAGTAGCCCAAGGACACCCCACACCCCGAAAACTAGACCTCTTTTCCCTCTCGGTGACTTAGGATTGGTTCTCCGAGACACAATTGCTCACGATCCTTGAGCATCCCTAGCAGGGAAAGGAAACATGTCCGTTTGGGAAAGAGGAAAGCTCGACTTATTGGGTGGTTAGCCTTATTTTACTTAGTCTACTTTTTTCGCAACCTAATTGACCCTTCAGTTGTGGTACTTTGACACACAACGTTCTCTTTTCGTCTTTTGCAAGATCAGAAACCCTCAGCGCTCCTTTCCAGGACCTAGATCATCTTGGGCACACAAAAAGCCAGCGCTCAATCGGGGCACGGATGGCTCTGAGATTCTCTTTCAGAAAAGACTCCAGGTGGCGCCGCCCGCTGGAGCGCACGGGTTGGCGCTGGCAGCAACCAGGTCGTTGGTGCAGGGCAAGGAGCCAAGCTGCGGCGAACAAGGGGGCGGGGAGGAGAGGACCGGCTGGGCGCTCTGAAGATTCTTGGAGCTAGGGACCAGAACTGGGGAGACAAGGAGGAGGAGGAGGAGGAGGGGGCGACTTTGTTGGGTTGAAAAGTTTCTTCTGCTGTCGCCTCCCCCTTGCGTGCGGAGCTGTGCCTTGCGTGCGCAGCTTCTGGGAAGTCATATCCCTGGGCGCTCCTCGCGGCCGCCCCTCCCGCGCTTCTCACGGCACCTGACACGCCGAGGCGGCGGCCAAGGGCGGGGTGCCTGCCGCCACCACCCTCGGCGGCGCACGCACTACCGCGCCCGCGGTGACAGCCAGGACGCTTGGGCCACCACCCGCAGGCCGGGTTGCAGCGCGACCCAGGGGCACTCGCGGCTCAGTCCCTTTCCCCCGCGTGCGTATACTCTCAATGGGGATGCTTCTTTCTAAAGGGAAACCAGAAGCAATTTGAACCCTCAGGCAACGGCCCCCTTTCCTTCACGCTATTGCTAGTGCCTAGTACCATGTTTTCAACCACATTGAAAGAACAAGGTCTCCCCGAGTCTGGGGAAAGGGCCAGCCCTGGGCAGGAGGTGGGATGTATCCAGTTAATAAGATGGGAATTGTTTTTCCTAGCCTCGGAGATCACCAAAGGTAAATACAAAAGTTGCACTTTTGCCACGGGACAACCGTAAGCTTTGAGCTCTTCCCGCGCTCCAAATCTTGTGCTATTATTGCCTCATTTACAGATAAGGAAACTGGGGTTCAGAGAGTTTATCTAAGTCACACAGCTGTCAAGATACTGAGACAGGATTTGAGCCTACAAAATCCCACTCCAGATTCCTCGTACAGATTTACACAGAAGAAAATCACAGATATGGCCTTTCTTGCCTGCATTTAAAAAAAAATCATGTGGAAGAACTTAATTGTTCTGGTAACAGGATTTTGGGTGTCACAAAGAAGAAACAGAGTGCTCACTCTTTGCAATAAAAATTGGTTATGAGGGAGGCCTGAGACAAAGCCTCATAGCAGCCCTCAGAATAACTGCATTGTTAAAAAAAAAAAAACATAAAGGAGTGCCTGTAAAAGAGTCTAACTCCTGAAAGATTGAAACCAAAAATAAAATATCTGACCTACTTTAAAAAGGCATTTTTGTAAAAGTCTTCATTTGGTAAGTTTTGAAAGATCCTCTAGGAGTATTTCACACACAGTAATGGGGTACTCAGATCAAAGATGAAGTTGGTTTGGGGCAACTGCATTGGTTTGATAATAAGCTTTAGTTAGCCAGAGCTGTTGGTCTACATATTTGTCTTTGCCCATTTTATGTTGCCATAACAAAATACCTGAGACAGATAATTTATAGAGGAAAGAGGTTATTTTGGCTCACAGTTCTGGAGTCCAAAAAGTCCAAGAGAATAATGCCAGCATCTGCTCAGCTTCTGGTAAGGAATCAACCCCACCCCAAGCTCCTGAGGGAGGCAGAAAGGAAATGGTCACCTGAGGGAGAGGGAGAACATGAGGGTCAGCAACCTTTCCAGTTCCCAAGACAGCAGCACTGACTTACTGGAGGAAGACATTAATATATTCAAGAGGACTCTGCTTCTATGATCCAAATATCTCCCACTAGATACCACCTCCAACATTGTGCATTGAAGAACTTTGGGAAGACACTCTCAAAGCAAGCAATTCCTTTGAAAAGAGTTTCATAACAGCCTTACAGTGCTCAGCTTTAGCAAGACCCTTGTCTAATTATTCAAAATTATACTAAGAACATCAATCTCTTATCCAGGCTTTAATTTAATAGATGGGAATTATCAATGAGCTAATGCCAATTCTGAATTTTCAGAATTCCCAAAACTTTAATCACAGCATCTTTATCAGAATTAGAGCAAATGGAAGTGGCCTTTAAACCAAGTAAATTCCTGTTTTTAAAAGTATGAAATGAGTCTGTTCCTATGAACTTTTGCTTAACTCCTCAATAATGCTCTATAGATTTTAGATCAACTAGATGCACGCCTTCCTGCTACAACAAATAGTTAAGGAATGTCCTTCTTGGGCTCAGCTCTTGTTCTGGGACATGCCTCAAAAGCAGAAAAACCTGTTGTGCAAATGCTGTCAGAAAGATAGGCCCTTATCAGTTATGGCCAACCAACGTGGCTGGCCACGGTGCATCTTCAGGTTCTTCCTGGCTTTATGGTTCGGACCTTATTGTAGCACCTACTTGGTAAGTGATGAAGACTTTGCGTGAATCCAGTGCAGCCTCTGTGTACCCCAGTGCAGCCTCTGTGTACCCCAGTCCAGCTCAAGATGAGGCACTCCCTTAAGAGTCCACATCAGGCTTTTTAATTAATCATCACAACTTCTGGACCACAGCAAGGATCCCAGGCCCAGGGGGTCTCCTTTCAGGCCGCAACACAAAATAGGGGGATTTCTCCCTTCCAGATCTCAAACTTGATTGTTTGCCATTAAATAGCTTTCAAAAAGTACAGTTAAGCTAGAGGATACTTTAAAGTAGAGGTTTTAAATGCCTTATGTTGTGTTGATTCCAGGAAACAGTTTAAGCTTGTTTAAGCGGGACAGGAATGTACCGACTCATGTGGCAGAGGATAACTGTGGTACTCACAGGATGGGAGGATCCAGGCAGGCTGCTTTCCGGCCTTCTGCTCCTTTTGGTCTTCACTCAGACTTCGTTCCTCGGTGTGCTGGGGAAGCTGGTCATAGGAAGCCTTTGATCAGCAACCCAAGAGAAGGAGAGTGTTTGTCCCCCAAGGTCCGAGAAGGACTCTGGGGGTCAGGCTTGCATGGGTTCCACCCTATAATGAACAGTTCATTCTGTTATCAGGAAAGAGAGATGGGTGAGACTGGTAAGAAACCAGAGAGCCACCACAGTCCACTCCATGTGTGCACTGATGTCCATGGCTCTCTTTGTCATTGCTATTACTATTACTGTTATTATTTTATTTTTTATTTTTTTATTTTTGAGAGAGAGAGATTTTTTTTTAATATTTATTTTTTAGTTCTCAGCGGACACAACATCTTTGTTTGTATGTGGTGCTGAGGATCGCATGCCAGGCGAGCGCACTACCGCTTGAGCCACATCCCCAGCCCACTATTATTATTTTAAATCAGAAGATGGATGCATTGCCCCTGTAGACAAGAGTCAAGAAAGTTCTGGCCTCAACTATCAGGATGAAGCCAGCTTTCTTTGGGTCCTTTCTCTCCATCACGACCCCTATGTTGATATAGATAAGTACCCTGCTCTTCCATCCCCCTCCAGACATGCAAACACTGAAAGGACAGTGGGGTAGAAGCAGCCATCTCTGGCAAGCCCTGGATTTGGGGTGGGCAGGTGTCAGTAATCAGGCAGTTGTCAGTAGGCAGGAGTAAGAGGAAAAGATGACTGGGGGTATGGCAGAGGGGAGGGGGCCATAGGACATTGTGCAGGAAATTGAGAGGATTATAAAAGCTGATACAAACCCTGTGCACACCTGAACTGTTTCTGCTTTCTCCCTTCAGGAAGACACAGGCTTGAGAACCACAGAACTTAAAAAACAAATTAATCTTATCTCAGAAGTTTTCATTTGTAAGATTCACCATCATTTTATGTACTAGGGTAAGGGCTGAGTGGGGAAGCTTCCAATTGTAATTGTGCTGTCAATTTTTAAAATACATCCAGATTTCAGAGATGCTAAAATGTAAAGTTTTAAAGTATGCTTTAGAGTTGATGATGCATTATGCATGCTAATGAAGGTCTTCCTAATTCACCATCTTTGTAGTAAGCAATTATTCTAGTTTCCCATCAAAATGCTTCCCTAAGAATTCAGATGTAAAGGGGCATCAACGTCTATGAGTTACTCTTAAAGGACTCAAGAAAAAGAGAGAGAGGGAGGGAGGGAGGAAGGAAGGAAGGAAGGAAGGAAAGAAGGAAGGAAGGAAGATGAATGTGGGAAGAAGAGGGAGACAGCATAATAACATAACCATGGCAAAATGTTAAGTGGATAATCTGAGTAAATGAGAGTTCTTTGTAATAATTTTGTAACTCTCCTGTAACTTTGATATCAAAATTGCTCTTGTGTCCTCAGATGGCTATGCAGTCCAGTGTCCTCCACTGGCACCTTGCTCTTTCGCTGACTCAGTAGAGCAATGATCCCATAGGAAGAGAAAAACTGTCACAGTCTGTGGTCACCTTTGCATATTTGTTCTCTGGGTTTCCACCACCATCTTTGTAGTTCCAACATTTGCTTTTCTCACAGTGGAATGGGAAGTCTGC